GCTTGGCTCGAACTCGACTACCTTTGATTGTAGGTCCCCTAGCAGCCAAGATGTCGAGCTGAGGTCTCCCTCTGTTGGAGAGATAATGGCATTCTTGTAATTTTATAAGAGAGAGAGAGAGAGTTTGTAGGGGAGAGAGTGGCATTCTTATAATTTGAGAGAGAGAGAGAGATGGCATTCTTGTAATTTGTATGAAAGAGAGAGATAGAGTTGGTAGGAGAGAGAGTGACATTCTTGTAATTTTCATGAAAAAAAGGTAAAAAATACTGTTAGATTCCATTTCCTACATCCTCAGGCCTTCTTACATACACATTTCAGCTTAATATATTTATATAGATAGATGATAATATAAAATACTACAAATAATATATATATATATATATATATATATATATATACATGATCCAAAAATCCAACAAAGGCAAATAGGATCGGATCCATTTCCCAAATATCTTAGAAAGTTACTGGAAATGTGTGAACTCTGATTCCAACTAGTTCAATCTAGGCAACAAATGCAGAAAGCTAAAGAAAATTTTAAAAATATGGAACAAGGACAAATTTGGAAATGTCTAGCAAAGAATTATGGACTTGAAGACTCGCCTGGATAGTGGAGTTAAGAGAAGATGCCAAAATTTCAATGCTACCAAAGTCAAAACTTTGGAAGCTGAGCTAGCTGTTTGGCTTAAGAGAGACGAAATTATGTGGCAACAAAAATCAAGAGTGAATTGGCTGAGTTGTTGAGACAAGAATACAAGGTTTTTTCATTTGATTGCAAAGGGATGGGGTAGCAAAAACTAATGGAGAAGTGGAATCTTCAAGACCTCACACCCAAGAATCCATGATAGTTTATTGAACTGTGCGATGCCTAAGTTGAATGAGATGGACAGAGATCTGCCATAATTAGACATAATTGATGATGAGATAAAAAATGCTTTATTTCAAATGGCCCCAAGGAAAGCACCTGGCCCAGATGGACTTCCAAGCATTTCTTCCAAAAGTATTGGGGAATTGTAGGAGAGGATATTGTGAAGGCAGTTTTTTTTTTTTTTTTGTTACATGCAAAATTTTAAGAGAGTTTAATGAAACCCACATTGCACTAATACCAAAAGTAAAGAATCCTGAAAACCTTTCTCAATTCAGACCCATTAGCTTGTGCAACACAGTGTATAAGTTCATAGCAAAGGTCTTGGTGAACCGAGTTAAACCTCAAATGGGGAATTTGATTTGTGAAAATCAGAGTGCATTTACTCCAGGTAGGTGTGTTCAGGATAACATTCTACTTGCCCATGAAATTATTGATTTTATGAGAAAAATAAGGGGTATAACTCCTTGGATGACTCTAAAGTTAGACATGAGTAAGGCTTATGATAGAATTGAGTGGCCTTTTCTATAAAAAGTGCTTATCCAATTACGATTTGGGCCCAAATGGGTGAATTGGGTATAATGCAATGTGTCTCCACAATCTCTTATAGAGTGATAATTAATGGAAGGCCGGGATCAAAATTTTTTTCCTAAAAGAGGGTTGAGGCAGGGGGATCCTCTCTCCCATTACCTATTTTTGTTTTGCTCCGAAGTCTTTTCTACTAATCTGACAGAGCTAATGCACCAAAAGAAAATTTTAGGTATTTCCATCACCAAGAATTGCCCAACTGTCTCTCATTTGTTTTTTTGCAGATGATAGTTACATATTCACTAAGGCATGCCTGGGTGAAGGGAAGGTTCTCTTGGACACTATCAAGGTGTATGAAGAAAGCTCTGGTCAACAGGTAAATTTCTCAAAGTTTGAATTTTTTTTTTCAGTAGGAATTAAACCCCAAAATTCAAAGAATCTTGGCCAGATTTCTGAAAATGAGGAGGGTGCATATTTCCTCTATTTACCTGGGGCTACCTACTCAAGTTGGGAAGTCCAAAAGGGCCCTGTTTTATTTCCTAATGGAAAAAGTGGGGAAGCTTATGTCCAAATGGCATGAATCTATGCTCTCTCAGGCAGGGAATGAAGTTTTGATCCAGGCTATAGCCAGTGCCATTCTAAATTACACCATGTCCTGCTTTTTACTTCCGAAAGGTGTTTGTAAGGAGTTGAAAAGCATCCAAGCAAAATTATGGTGGGGTGGGGGGGATCCTAGGGCTCCAGAAATACCCATTGGGTTTGTTGGGAGAGATTTAGTAGGAATAAATTAGCGGGTGGTTTGGGCTTTAGGGACCCATATCTCTTCAACCTGGCTCGTCTAGCCAAGCAAGTTTGGAGAATTTGCAAGGAAGAGGACAACCTATGGGTTAAGGTGATCAGAGCCATATACATTAAAAAGAAAATTTTCTTAATTGATAAGTTTTCAAAGCATGGGTCATGAGGGTGATAGAGCCTCTTAACAGATAGAGAGGTTATCCAAAAAGGAACATGTTGGGCAATAAGCTCGGGTGCAAAGGTCAGGATTTGGGATGCTCCTTGGCTACAAAATTTTAAGTTTTTTAAAATTACAGGCCCTAGACCAAATAATCTTGATTTAATTTGGGTAAAGGACTTATTGGTTGGAAATGAGAGAGTAATTTGGGCCAATTTCTGTGACCCAATTGCAAAAAGTTTTCTTAGTATAAACTTGTCAAAGGGTCAGTGGGATGATAAACTCAGGTAGACTCTCAATTCAAATGGACATTATAAAGTTAAATCTGGCTATTTTGTCCTAAAAGCCTTGAAAAGTGGGAGAAATCCATCCAGAGAAGAAAGTAGCACTGCTGAAGAGCTAAAGAAAAGTTAGTGGTCAAAGTTATGGAAAGCTAAAATAGATAAAAAAATTAAAAACTTCATATGGAAATAATATGTAAATGCGATTGCGGTTAAGGATAATTTAGTTAAAAGAAAATTGGCATCTGATGCTACTTGTCCTATTTGTTCCATCAACTCATAAACAATTATGCATTGCTTATTTGAATGTTCTCATGCTAAAGTTGTGTGGTTTGGTAGTCACCTGGGAATTAGAATTATGGATGGGAGTAACTTGAGCTCCTTTTAACAGTGGCTTTCCTTTTTGCTTACCAGGTGCTCAACTGATAAAAGTGTTAATAATGATATGATTGCTTTCTCTTTTTTGACTATGTGGATTATCTGGAAAAGCAGGAATTTGAAAGTGTTTGAAAACATTGACCCAAACCCGAGCTTCGATATTTTTGTTTTATATAGGATGTGGAGATAAAGAGAGAGACAGAGGATTTCCCAAGTTGGATTGCAAGGTTCTTCTCGTCAGCAACGCGATAATGAAGCAAGGACAATTGTTTTTTGGAGAGCGCCAATGCCAGAATTTTCAAGAATGAATGTTGATGGTAGCTTTTTGTGCCCACGACGCTCAGGTTTTAGGGCTATCCTGGTGGATTCAACTGGGACTGTGCTAGCAGTTGTTTTTGAAAAGTCTACTGTGGCATCTCCGATACAAGCAGAAGCTCTAGCCATTGTAAGGAGCTTGGAAGTGCTGAACAGATACAAGGACAAGTCCATTCTTGTGGAATCAGACAACTTATACTTAGTCCATGCTTTGAATGCCAAGAAGGTTGACATGGCTTTGAACACAAATTTTTGTGCATGGACATTCTCATGTGTATTGTCCTTTCTACTCACTTTGTGCATGTTGGCAAATGTGGAAATATGGTAACCCATAAGTTGGCTAGAAGAGGTCTGACGGAGTCTGGGCTCTTCTTAGAGGATCCGCCTGAGTGGATCCAACTTTTAGCTAACCAAGACTTGGTTAGACCTTAATTTATTTATTTATTTTTAATTTTGTTGTTTGTTTTGGTGTTGCTTTACAATAAAAAAAAAACTTTCACTTAAACTGAATGACTGATGTTGGGGCGTTATTACTGAATAATGGTTATACAACATCTATAACAGCCATCACATTCAGCCAATCCGATATCTCGCCCATATTGCATAAGTGATCAGTCGCACAGGTGGTTGACCATGTGCCACACTCATGGTTCGGAATACTGGATTGCCCTAGAAAAAATTTGGCTGTTTGTAAAAAAAAGTAAAAATAGCCTGGGCTGTTTTGAGAGCGTGCTGTAAATGGCAACTCATAAGGATAAAATAGTTTTTACGCTCAACGACTAAATCTATATCTATATTTGTATAAATATATTAAGCTGAAATGTATATGTAAGAAGGCTTGAGGATGAGGGAAAGGAAATCTAACATTATTTTTTTGCCTTTTTCATAGAAATTACAAGAATGCCACTCTCTACCAACTCTCAATCTTTTTGTTTTTTCTTTCAAATTACAAGAATGCCACTCTCTCTCCTACCAACTCTCTCTCTCTCTACCAAATTACAAGAATGCACTTTCCTTGTAAATTACAAGAATGTCACTCTTTCTAACTGAGGGAGACTTTAGCTTGACATCTCGGCTACTAGGGGACCCGCAATCATAGAAATTACAAGAATGACACTCTCTACCAACTCTTTCTTTTTTGCTTTTTTTCTTCTTTCAAATTACAAGAATGCCACACTCTCTCTCTCTTGCTTTTTTTCTTTCAAATTTTGAGAATGCCACTCTCTCTCTTTCTTACAAATTACAAGAATGCCACACTCTCTCCAACTAAGGGAGACCTCAGTTCGACATCTCGGCTGCTAGGAGACCTACAATCAAAGGTAGTCGAGTTCAAGCCGAGCCGAGCTCGAACTTCTGAGCTCAAGCTCAAGTCTCTAATTTGAATCGAGCTCGAGCTAGATGACACCTCAACCATTAAGGGAGACCTTGGTTCAACACCTTGAGGGAGATCTCGGCTCAATACCTTGACAATTGAGGGAAACCTCAGATCGGCACCTCATCAACTAAAGGAGACCTTAGCTCAACACCTCGTCTGTTAGGGAAACCTCAACTCGACACCTTAGCAGTTGAGAAAGACCTCAATTTGGCACCTTGGCAATTGAAAGAAACCTTAGCTATTTAAAAAAATTGTAATCAAAGATAGTCGAACTTGAACTTTCGAGGTTTTTGACTCAAGCAGAACTCGATCTCGAGCACAAATCTCTAATTCAAATCGATCGAGCCTAATTATGAGCGAAAGTGATATCGGTTGCCTTCGGAGTCGGTTGTTGCGAATGCGAAGACAGCGTCACGCGGCTAAACCACGTCGTTAGAGAGGGCCCACTAGAACCTCTGACATCACAGGCCTCTTTCTTTCTTTCTGCAAGATTCGGTCGCCACTCGCCACATTCATCACACGTGTGTTCCACATACCGAACAGAACATGTTCTATAATCCAGAAAAGAAAATCCGTCACCGGCTCTTCTTCTTCGGCACCGGACCTTGATGCTGCCTCAATCAGTCTCTCCGAGCCCTCCCTTTGGCGGTCCAAACACTTCTTCTGCCAACCCCAACACCGCTCAGGCCAGCAAAGACCGTAATATGGCTTCGGCCGAGCAGTTGGTGTTCGATTTAAGCAATCCTGATCTTAGGGAAAATGCTCTGCATGAACTTTCGAAGGCAATATTCCTTTACTGGATTAGTTCATCTTTCTTCCCCATCAACGGCTGCGCTCTTTTGATCTAAAGAAACGGAACGGCTTTTTATATTTTGGTGTTGTTAAAATATATAGTTTTTCTCCGTGATATTCTTTGTTGTTCAAAATCTTGATAATGGATTTATATAATTTATTTTGGTTCGAATTTCCATAATTTGGAAATGACACTGAGGAAGCTTGATTGAAGCTTATTCAGAAGCTATATTGAAGGATCGCGTTGATATTACAGATTCATCTATATCCATTTCTTTTTTGATTTTATTTGATCGATATATGCTTATCAGAAACAAAATAATCGAAATGTTCGTAACCGAATTAATTTGGCACACAATTGATCTTTGTCATGTTACAATAACTGGATGGAAGATTTCCAAAACGATAGGCAAGTTTCTTATGCGGTTGGAGTTCTTGTACACCAATATATTTGCATATTTATTTTGTTTTTTTGGAATGAAATCCATGTAGTGCCAGGAAATAGAAGGATACATTACGTCTTATCAATTAATGGCATTGAAATTGGTATGAGGTATCGACAGTTAACATGTTAATATTAAATATTCTCACTCTTACTGTATTTTGTTATTTTCATTCCTAAAATATTTAGAACTACTGAACTAGGTGGAGGGAGCAAATTCTTTTATCTTTCATTGCATACCTTTGGATTCAAATAAATTGTGACAGCATGTTTACTTTTTAATGTCAAGCAATTATAGCAGTTCAGTGCCATGATACACCCGATTACACTGCATCTAAATCAATTAAAAAAATGGTATACAATCCCATATCACTATGTATTAGAACAAGACAACCGGTTCAACATTGCTTTTTTTTTTTTTTGGTGATTTGGAGGTACCATAACTCATATTCCTGTTTTGTTAACATTGGTATTTAATGTTTACAGTGTAGTTAGGAAATATTAAATCTTTTTACTAATAAAGGAATTTTTAAATCTTTTTTATTTATATGGAACAGACATACACATGTTTTTTTTTTTGTTTAATTTCTTTGTCCTCCCTTTCTTTTCTTTATACATAACTGATTTTATTTTTGAATTTTTAGAAGAGAGAAATATTTCAAGATTTGGCTCCATTGCTGTGGAGCACACCTGGTGCTATTGCTGCACTCTTACAGGTATATTTATATCCTTGTTTTCTTGACTATAAAAAAATTGTTATCCTTGTTCTATTTGTCATTTTGTCTGAGCATACTTCTTTCACTGAAGTATGCATGTAGTTTGCAATGTATTGCTATGTTTCATTTCTGATATTGTTCACCATTTAATAGGACATTTAAGATATTCATTATCCTTGATTGATCTGCTATGTTTAGTCAACCACAAAAAAGGTAAGATAATGATTCATTTACACTTATATTTCATAAATAAAGACCACAAACATGCAATAAAAGGTAAAATACTGAATACTTCCACATATAGTCATTGTATTGCAAGCAAAAAATGTAGGATTGATAGGCCAAGATAGAAGTAATAGTCTTCATTTTTCCAACTCAGGGATAGTTCCTACTCCTAAAAAGGAGAAAAAAATGGTTGGGTTGAGAGCAGTAAGAGAACATTGACCCTCTGATGAAAAAACTGTCTGATATGGTTCTTGTGTTTGTGGCACCTTCTCCGCACTAGCACACCTTTGGAAGAAGACCCAGAAAAACTCCTATGAGTCATTACAAACATTTACAGAAACACATTTCCTTAGGACCATTACCAATGTTGGCCCTGACTATCCAGGGTTTAGGGAGGGGTGGTCTGGGTATGACCTAACAATTGCTATTTTTTCAAATAAAGTGGCCACTGGCCACCCTAAGACTTAAATTTGCATTCTCATGCTCATTGGCTTGAGATTTTACCATTGCACCAAGCAAGGGTCCCTACAACATGTCAATATTTAAGTGCCTGTTTAGGAGGGCTGAGCTGAACATTCAATTAAGCTGGTTCAGTTGCTTTGAGGCACTCTGGATAAGCTATCTAAAGAGGCTTAAGTGGACATCCCAAAAAATGACTGAATGACAGCCTATTTGTGCTCCCAAATGGGCACTAAGTATTTTAAGAAAAGTGGGATGAAGCAATTTGCTCTTTCCTGATTTATTGAGGAAAGATTTGCTTTGCCCACTTAGTGGTATTTTAATTGACTGCATTAAAGCCCATTACCGTTCCACTTAGTAATATTATAATTGTCTTTCCTTCTAAATTTTGTATTACAGTTTTACCTTCCAAGTGGTAGTTAGTTGATGTTAGTTGATTAGTCATTGGTCTACTTGTTTGGCCTTGTTGATGCTTAGTTCCCACTGATGATTGCATCATGGGTATTAACTGAATGGTTAATGATGAAGTATGGGCTCAAATTATCAGTTTTTTAATCAACAATAAAGAAATTCATATGGATCAAAAGAGGAAGAGATACATGACATTACTGAACCAATATGGCTCAGTTTGGGAAGAGTGTAAATACAAATACAGCGAAAAACCTACACGGTATTTCTAAACCTTGCTTTTGCACTGCACATATTTGTAATTGCACTCTTTCCAAACTGAGCCTAAGAGGAAAATAGAAGACCAGAAAGGAATAACAACAGACACACAGATATCCATAGCTCTATGTCCAACTCCAACCACAATTTGAGCACAATAAAAACATTTGGCCTAAATTGATTAGGAATCTGTCTAGTCAATAATTACTTAACACTTTGGAAACATTGCATTCCTTTTACTCTCATGTATATTGATATCCAAGTTATTTCCACCTAGAGGGAAGCTAATGATTTTTAAAAGTTCATTGAGCTACGCTCTCTCCTTGATATAGGATAAAGTACTCTGGTACCAAATTGATATAGGATCAATTACTCTGATACCTATCTGATATAGGGTATGTTTATTCAAAATGTGTTCCTAAGGCCATTACCCAATGTTGCCCCCGGCTATCTGGGGTCTTGGGAGGGCTAGACTTGGTACGATCCTAACCTTTGGAATTTTATCACACAAAGTGACCACCCTCATACTTTTTTTTTTGACACGTAAGCCCTCATACTTGAACTTATGTTCTTATGCATTCTGGCTCGAGATTTTACCATTACACCAAGACCCAGTAATGGCCCCTTATTAAAAATGTATTCATAGAGTTAGGGAATATGTTTAAGAATGAAACTGATGTGAATATGTGGGATGGATTGGGTTAGGAAGGTCTTGGTGCTTACTTAATTTTGAGAATTTAAGTTTGTTCCATAACTTTTGAGAAACATAAGTCTAGGTTTGAAATGTTTTTTTGACAAGTAAAAGGATAAAATTTTATTAAAAGAAGAAAGAAACTGAATACAACCTCAGAGCAGGTATTGGGATAACACCCCCAGACCACACAACTACGACCAACCAACAAGAACAACAAAAACAGAGAAAGCAAGAGAAACACATCATTTTTGCAATAACCGCACCAAAGAAGTGATACACCTGCAAAGCCACAGGTCAATCTTCCACCTCACCGAGCTCTTCTTGGCCTCCCTCCTTACCCCAAGATTCTCCCCCTAACTCTTCAGAGACCTTTCTGAAGCTTTCTTCTCTCCTTTGTCTCTCATAAACTTCCAAGGCTTTCCTTGCGACATCCCCCCCCCCCCCACACACACACAAAAAAAAAAAAAAACAAGCCCAGGGATTTACCAACTTTCACCTCTCTATCGACTAGTGTCTTCAAATGCATGCCACCTTTCTTCATCTCCTTATCATTTGGATCCTCCTTAGGAGATACCTCACTCGAATCAGACTCATCCCTCACAACTTTCTCTGACAAGTCCGGATTGATCGGCTTCTCCTGGTTAGAACCATCTTGACGAGGTTTATTTCTGACCCCATTGGATGAGAATGAAGAAACCGGGCAAGATTTCTCCTGACTCTAAGAACTTAGTTTAATCCTTCTTCTTTTGTAGATCTTTTTATACTTACTTGTTGCTTCAGTTCCTACCAGGCCCTCCTTTGCCTTGAGACAACTTTCGTGATATGCACTACATTGAGTTTGCTTGAATTTCTAGTCTTTGTTGGGATTTCCGAAGCCTCACTGTTGTCTGCTACACTCGGTCCTTTTCCCTTGCGGTCCAAATCAACTCCCAACCTTCCAACAAACACTTTCGAGACCCAGTAACTGGTGTTGATCCTATGATTCTTGACTTGACTTACATTCTCTGAATCAGAGACCTGCTTGCCCTCAACTTCTGGAAGACCGTCCCTTTATTCCCTATCCCCTCCCTCCTTCGAAACCTTGTGATTGCCCTCCACCTCCTCTACCCCCGCCTCCACCCTAATTTTACTCATAACCCCTGCTTCCAGATCCTTCTCTGAGCTTCCTCCATGAACTAGAAACAAAGTCCCTACACTCTTGGCTTAACTCCAGGCACGGCAAGGTAGGTGTTTGCTCTTTCTTCTCAACCCCTGGAATGAGCGCCTGAGCAGAGGAAAAAACTTTGTCACCACCTCCTTGAGAATGCTCCCTAGATCTCGAAGGGACTTCAAGATTGAAAAGACAAGGCTCAAGAGTTTGATCATCAGAAACATCAGCCGCCGACAAACTGGTATTTGAGGCATTTTGAGGAGACCTTAGGTCTGCCCCCTTCTTGAAGACTCTTTTCTTGACTCTCCCCCTTCGGATTCCAAGATCAATCTCCACCTAAGCCACTGGCCCCATGCCTCTTAACATCAGACCACTTTTTCCTTGAAGCATGGGCCCAACTATTTGTATTCTCCAGTTCCTTATTCGAGAAATAAAAACTTTCTTGGAACCGACCCCCTGATTGAAGACTCCACCACATGTTCCTTTTCTCCAAAGAACTCTTCGGATCCCAGCTGCAAAAATACATTTTTTACCCCCCCCCACTTTTACCACGTCCCCCCTTTCACTTCCGCTTGACCCTCCAGCTCCCCGATCTTTCGCTTTCCAACGTCTTCCTCCTCCCGACTTGCATTCACAGGATCAGCCAGCACCCATTTTCCCCTTGCAAAGCAGTTTGACTCCTCGATTTGATCAGGCAAGACCAATGAATCCTCCTGAACCCAGCAAAACGGGATGCAGCCTTCAACCACCAGTTGGGGGACTTAATTAGGGCTGAATTTCTTGCAGTGATTCAAGGGATGAAGTTGGCAAAAGACATGAATGCGGTAAGATGATTGTTCAGAGGGATTATAAGTTAGTAGTGTAATGAATCCAAATTCTGTGATTTTGACTTATAGAAATGAAATAAAGAAATTTAAATGGCTATTTATCAAAAAAGGCTAACCAGCAGCATGACTTTGAGGATACAGTGGGTTAGAAGATTGGCTAATGGGCTGAGGATACCTCAGCCAAGCAAGGGGTTAATAGGGATCATCTGTATTGGGCTCAGCTATAATGTGATCTTTTGTTGTTTCTTTGTGGAGTTTTAAGTGAGAGGTTGCATCTCACTCTTCTCCTTGGGATGCTTGTATATAAAAAAGGGCATATGATGCTGAAATGCTACTTTAACAGCATGAAGAAAGCTCCGATCTTTTGTTGTTTCTTTGTTGAGTTTTAAGTGAGAGGTTGCATCTCACTCTTCTCCTTGGGATGCTTGTATATAAAAAAAAGGTATATGATGCTGAAATGCTACTTTAACTGCATGAAGAAAGCTCCAGAAAATGATTGAGCTGCAAGAACAGAATGGCCAGGACAGATAAGATTTGAACAATGAATCAACTCCATCTACCAAAATTGACTACCTAACTTGAGAATGAGACAAACACACTGACATCAACTTACCCATAAAAATATTGCTCACATTAACCCTTCATTTATTCACTTCCATAGATCTTTCTAGGAACTTCAGAAACTTGTTGATAGTACCCTCATCCTCTCCCTAACCACTTCAATCCTAGATTATTTGCCCTAGGCTTGCCTGCCTTTTTTGCCTAATAGCTGCTGTGGACTTGTTAATCATGTGAACATATTTTTTGTCGGGCTACACATACTGATATAGTCCTTTTCTTTTTGGTAAGATTTTTATGATTGTGGGTGCTTTGAGTTGTATGATTGTCTTAGGAGATCAATTTATGAAATTCTACCTCCTTTTGAAATTTTATATAATTTTAATTAGGTTAAGATTATGAACGTCTTTTTTCATATAACTTATGTATTATTGCTGTAGATATACTTTACTATCATTATGTCTATTATGTATTTGCATCTTGTACATTATTTTAAGCAAGTTTTTTGTATACTGTAAACCAGTGCCGTGATTTATGACTGATTCTAAAACTCATTCTTATTTGCAGGAGATAGTCTCCATATATCCTGTTTTGTCACCACCAACCCTTACTCCAGCTGCATCAAACCGAGTTTGCAATGCACTTGCTCTTCTTCAGGTCAATTATTATTTTTAAAAAAATTTGTATCTTCATTTTTCCCATTAGTTGTTTGTTCTTTATTCTCTTTGAATTTATCATGGTCAGATGACCCTTCTTGGATTTTTTTTTCACTTTTTCAGAATAGTGCTTATTATATATACTGATGATTTCAATGACTGTTGGTTTTGCTTGATGGTCTTCAAAGCCCAACTTGATAATATTACTTTGAGTAACACTAAGGGTGCATTTTTTTTTTTCTTTACTGCTTGCAAGATGCATCTTACACTAGACACCTGGACTGTTGTGTGTGGGGGAGTCACCTGGACGAAAAGTCTAAATCAATGTTCCATATGTATGGTGTATAATGCACCTTCAAGGGGTAATAGCATTACTTTTGATTTTGATATGTTTTTTCAATACTTTGTAAAACATAGGGTTTCTATAGGGATCAAACACCTTCAATTTGATTGGAAAACCCAAGGATGGGCTTGGATTGTGGGAGTGGATTTGGATTTAAATTCTATTTTTGCATCAATTCACAATAATTAAAATGATTATCCATTTATCCCCAGCATCGTTTTAAATTTTGCGAAAAGTACTTGTTTTCTGTTCTCCTAAAATTGGTAATTTAGTATGGTGTATGATGTACCTTAAAGGGGTAACAGTATTACTTTTGATATGTATTTCAGTAGTTCGTGAAACATAGAGACCAAACACCTTCAATTTGATCGGAAAACCCAGGGATGGGTTTGGATTGTGAGAGTGGATTTGGATTTGAATTCTATTTTTGCATCAATTTATGATAATTGGAATAATTAACCCGTGTTATTTCAAATTTTGCTAAAAATTCATGTTTTCCATTCTGCTAAAACTGGTAATTTGAAGTCTAAGGATTCCTCCTTCCAATTCACCGCCGTTTTTTCTTTTCTTGAAAAACAAATCACAGATAACTATGATTGCAAACTAAATGGTTTATTGTCATTCTATTATTTCATATTTTCACTCTTTACAGAGTTACTTATGAAATTGCATCAATATCTTAAATCCAACTAGTCAGCACCTAGGCATTGACTAGTCATCACATTGCCTAGGGAGGCCAAAACGACTTGTCATTCCTCACCACATTGATGATAATGTATTTTCTTTGCAATATCTGTAAAACAAAGAGATTCTTCTTCTTTGATGGTGAGACTCCACCATCCCCTTCTTGGTTGGTGAGATGCCATTCCCAAGGTGGGTTGGATACTGAGACTGCCTTGTTCTCTGTGTTGCTTCTTTGTTTTTACCTCTAATCTCTCTTCCTTTTCCTAGTTCTTTCTATTCCTGTACAAGAATGCCATTAAAGCCACATGCAACTTTGAAGCAACCCCTGACTTGGAATTCTTGTCACAATACTGAATCAAAGAGTTGTTGGAAAATTTTCTGAGTACACAAGACAAAATGCATGTGAACACAGACAAAAGGTAGTCAGTTCGATGTTAATCACGAGTCACGACTTGGCCTATTTTATTTATCTTTGATATGCTTGTAATTTTTAGTTCTATCTTGCACTGCAAATTTGAATTCATTTCTTGGAACTTTGGAAATGGATGTATGGATGTTGCAGGTTCTTCCCTTTTTGTTAATTTTCCTAGAATTATTATTTTCTTATTCATTTATTTTTGCAGTGTGTGGCTTCTCACCCAGATACGAGGACCCTATTCCTGAATGGTAACTTCCTTGATGCCATTAGATGTATAAGGGCTCTCTCTCTCTTTCACTGGATTGCAATGAAAAAACTTAATTCATTTTGTAGTTACTTAGAATACAAGAATGCTTCAGAAATCTTAAAGTATACTTGTGCATGAATGCCTTATTTTCTTGTGAGTGCTTTGGTGGGAACAAAATCAAGATGGGGTTAGAATCAGGTTTGTTGTTGAAGACATTATTACTTAAACCCTTTGATGTATTGAAAATGGTGCAGAAACTTCCTGCAATACGAGATACTGTAACTATGTTGTGGTGTTAGGTATGAGGAAGGGGGCAATGCCTTCATGCAATAGACAGGGATATTGAGAGAAAAATGGTGGTATTGGAATTGGTAGTGGTAGAGTTATCTCCGTACTTTCTTGTAACTATTTTTCATAATATTAGCTTTTATTTGTAACAGTTTTGCTTGGGTATAATGGTTAACAATATCATGGGTTATTCTTAAGGGATTTTTCCATGAAGATTAATATATTAGCTATTTTCTTAAAATTCATTAACATGAGGCAAATTTTGTTCCTTTACAGCACACATTCCTTTGTACCTGTACCCATTCCTCAACACTACAAGCAAGACAAGACCTTTTGAATATTTGAGGCTTACGAGCTTGGGTGTCATTGGTGCTCTTGTAAAGGTACAAATTTGTACTTAACAATTTAGTATGTTATTATTGTTCCTGGCATCCTGCATCCTATGGGCAACTATGTGAAAGTTTTTGATCCTATGGTTGTTTTATATTTTTTAATCAAGACGGTCAAAGGAACTTGTTAGCATATGAATGCAAGGATCTTCAAAGAGAAATCACAATTGAAGGAAGCTATCATAGAAAATATTTCTGTTAGGGTGACCTATTGGGTAATGCTATTGCATGTATTCTCACCTGTGGGTCCACACCCCTAGATTCCTTGTTTGCATCACCCTATCACTAACTTGGAACCACCTTCTTCTTCTATCTGTTGGAAGCTTACCTGTTTTAGCCAATTTCAAACCTTGGAGGAGGGCTAAAAGTTCTGCTCTAAGCGAATCTCACACCTATATTGGACCGGAATATAAAGATATTACCTTTTCTTCACCATCTCTAAAAGCTTCCCCAATACTTGAGGGTCCCGGGTTGCCAAATGAACTCCCATCAAAGTTAAGCTAATTCTTTGTAATGCTGAAGGGACCAAACTCTCCTGGACCAGGGCCTTGGTAGTTGAAGTTTTTCCACCCCCTGATTATATCCTGCACTAAAAACTCCTTGGATGATACAATTTTTCCTTTCTTCCCAAACCATCCAGAGTATTGCTACTGTAGTGGCTCCAAATGACCCTTCCCCTCTTCTTCAATTGTCCAAGGAAACTTGCATAAAACAAAGCTGCTACAGAATGTGGGGGTGACCATTTGCAACCAAAAAGAGAGGAAAATCAATCCCAAATACATGAAATAAAAGAACAAGAGATCAATGGGTTTGCAGCCGGCTCACCATAGGTATAACAAAGAATGCAAACATAAGGGGAAAGCCACCGATTAGGCCTTCTCTTTTGAAGCACATTACAGAGTGTTAAACTTCCTGACTAGTTGAGTGGAGATGGGTAGTGAAAAAAGAGTTACAAGAAAACATTCCAGAAGGAGAGACTATTCAAGCTCACCTATCCAAGCAAGATTGGTCCAAGAAAATAGAGCACAAAAGAGAGAGAATTTCATCAGCTGCCTCCATTTCAGCTTCCCTAAGCCCTCTTCTTAGACCCAAATCCCAAGAGTCCACATTACCATGAATTGATGAGATGGATTTTTGTTAATGCAAAGAAAGAGTATAGAGAGAGAAATCTAACGATGAGGATTCCCCAAGCCAAAGTATCTTCCCAAAAGAGCACTTTATTGCCACAACATGCATCACAATTCACACCTGAAGAAGGGAAGTAAAGAGGGTAGGGGTCAAGAATAGTTTTCCACAGAGAACACATAGCCCTAGGGTTGATTCCAGTGTCCCAACTCTTTGTTGCCAATCCATAGATGTTGACTATCACCTTGTGTACTTGATTTGTATTCTTATGTCATGGATTTATGGGATCTCTTTCATGTGGTTTGGTTACTCCTTACATAGTATACATACTTGAGGGCATGGACACATGTTTCATATTTGTTGGCACACCTCATTGATGTTTATATTTTGATAGCTCCCAACAGAAAGCTTTGGGGTCTGTTTGGTTTGCAGGAATAGGAGTCTGGAATTGGAATAGGAATAGCCCATGTTGTTTGGTTGAGCGGAATCAGAATCCAATTCCCATTCCTGGCAGAATGGCATTCCTCCATTTGAGGGAATGGCCATTCTGCCTCCCTGGGAATGAGAATTCCCCCCGACCAAAAAGCCTCCCTCCCTCCATCTCTGTCAGTACCCCCCTCCAATGGCTAACTTTGCAAACTCTGGTGATTTAAGTCACTTCTGGTCATTGCCGGAAATAATCTCATTTCAATTCTGATTCAAGTTCCTGTCTGAACCAAGCGGTGGGGGATAGGCCATTCTGATTCCGATTCCAATTCCGGCTGTGAACAAATAGTTTCTGGTAGTTTAGGAACCTGTCAAGTTGCTTTTCCTTGTGCTTTAGTTTCTGGTAGTGTAAAAGCATGTTGAATTGCTTGTCCTTGTACAACTGAGGATTAGATGCATTTCCAACTAGAGCGAGCTTTAAAAAGTAAGAGCACAAAAATGCACTGTTGGATCAACAGGCCAAACATAGGGGCCGTTTGGCAAGTCTTTTTGGGAAGATCTTCTGGTAGCTCTGACAGTCAAAAGATGCATTTGAGTTTTTGCATTAAGATCTGAGCAGCCTGAAGCACATTTTTTTAAGGTGTGTCTTTCCATGCGAAGACAAATAGAAAAAAACGCAAAAGCTCCATTTGGAGCTTCCCGAAAATTGCCCGTTTTGAGCTTCTCGCGTCCTTTTAGCATGCCGGCTTTTGGCAGCTAAACGGGAAAAGACCGAATTGCAGTCTGCCGGGCTTGTAAATAGCTGACAGACCACGCGGAAAGACACGCCAAACGGGGCCATAATTAACCCTTTGCATAGGTGATAAGAAGACATCCTTAAGTTGGTCTATTAGGGAGACTACCTGTTCATTTTTGTCATCCCTAAGGCTCCTTATCTGGCTCAAATCTTAGAAGCACCCTAAGAGGGCAGCACCAAGATGGAATGGATAGATGTTTATGAGTTAAGATGATGTAAACCTTTGAAACTTTCTAGTTTAAACGGGCTGCCACCAAATCCTTTTAGTCTTCCCAGAATTTTGCTTGCTCCCTGAGACTGGATTGTATCTTATAAACTATTGATAATGATGGTCCAATGACTTCTGTTGCTTTCCAGGGATACACCACTCATTTGCAATGATTATGTTAAGATCAGATAGCTGAGTTACCCATAAAAAAGAACTGAAGAAAAGAAAGACAATTTTACAGTACATATCTTAATATTTAATGTGGATATTCATTTGCAGGTTGATGATACAGAAGTTATCAGTTTTCTTCTTTCAACTGAAATAATTCCTTTGTGTCTGCGAACCATGGAGATGGGTAGTGAACTTTCAAAAACAGTAAGTGACTTGTTTTCTTATTCTATTATGTTATGTTTTTCTACCATTTTGCTATTTGCAAGTTTATCTGATGGAGGACAATTTGTTGCCTTATTGGTTATATCATATATGGTCCATGATGAAAAGGAGTATATATTTCTTAACCAAAGATCATGGTGACATATTGCTTATCAGAATTTAGAAGTACCTTCTTCTGCCATTACATTGTATCATTTCTTGCTTGAATGTTATATATACATGGATTTGGGCTTTTGCCCCCCCAAATAAACATGGATGTGGGCCTGGGGCCTAGGGTGGAGCCAATCCAAAATGAGCTTCAGACAAATGAGCTCCTATTAGTTTCTTCCTCTGTATTCATTACTTAACTGTTAGAATTTATTAAGTATTGAAAAGGAATGAGTAATTACAGCAGTGAAGCATCCCAAAAATTTAGGGTAGCTCGAGCTTCATAACCCCAGCCCTTGATATTTACATATTTCATACATTCAAATTGCCCTCTGTATTCATTACTTAATAATCTATCTTATTTCAATTGTTTTGGGTAATGCAACTATTTTAGAACAAATATGTGTTTCTTCCTTGGTGTGAACCTTTGCTTATGTGTCTACACAGGTTGCTACATTTATTGTTCAAAAAATTCTATTGGATGAAGTGGGATTGCGTTATATTTGTGCTACAGCAGAGCGTTTTTTCGCAGTGGCTCGTGTGTTGGGAGCCATGGTTAACTCACTCACTGAGCAACCTTCATCCAGGCTGCTAAAACATATTATTCGGTGTTACCTTAGGTTGACGGATAATCCAAGGTTGGTGGTGGAGTAGTTTGTGGCCTAAGCTCTAAATATAATATATCAATGCCATTTTTTTTTCTTTCTTTGTTCTTCCTTAATACCTTATGCCTTATTTTCTGTTTATATGAAACATCTAACCATATGGCTATGATTCTTGGTTTCCATGATGCAGGGCGTGTGAAGCACTAAAAACTTGCCTTCCCGAAATATTAAGAGATGCAACCTTCAGCAGTTGCCTTCGTGTAAGTGTTGCAGTGATATTTGAGAAATGCCATTACTATCATTCACAATTTTGTTTGTTGTCTTGCTGTTTTCATTCTTGACATTCTACCTGTCAAGAGGCTTTCTTTTATTTAAGCGAAATGAAATGGCCATCATGGTTTTTACATTTATGATTGCTTTTTTACAACCCATGTAAAAAATCTTTGGTTGCAAGTAAAACTGTTCATATCCCTTGAAGAATTGGTTTGGTGTTACTTTCATTTTATTTGTTGAAAACATTAGTTACTTTAACGAAGGTGCCAGCCAGCTTTCTGGTAGGGTCTCTAGCTGGTTGTAGTGCGGACATGGGGTTGAGTGAGTCATTCCTTCAACCTGGTTGGGGGGGGGGATCTCCTACACTTTTTTTTTTCTTTTTTCTTTTTAACTTTGCCCTAGACTTGCATTCAGTCTGTGACAAGTGTCTCCTTGTACATGTGAATATCCATTCATATGATAATACACATGTTAAGGGCTTACTGTCAGTCTGTCACATGCTGGATGGAAGTATTGGAGATTCAGAGTTGGTTGGGGTGGGGGGTTGGGGTTTGGGGGAGGGCTTTGCCTAGCAAAATCCTTAGTTACTTTAAGATGTTTGTGGTAGGAACTGCCTACCTCGATCTCGGTAGCCTCTTTGAGGGAGACTCACCTCCTGAGAACAGAGAAAATAGAGGAAGAAGAAAGGTTTCTATTCATCTTTTATTACAGAATTGGGATCCTCTTTATATGGACTCAGATGGCTCATCATGAGAATCAAATATTCCCATGTGTAGATGTAACTAACTCTGGGATCAGATTTTTTGCCATGGCTGCTGGTTCCCTCTGTCTTCTAACAAACTGCTGCGCTAAGGGTGGCTTTGCACCTTGACTGCTGTGGCTATGGGGCCTGGGCCTGTGTGGGCTGCAGTGGTCGTAACAACTCCCCCCCTCCTTAAGGTTGACCTTGCCCTCAAGGTCCAAGTTAGGGAACCTGTCCTGAAGCTGCAGATACGGCTCCCATTTGGCATCTTCTAAGGGCAGACCAGCCCATTCAACTTTTGCTTCTGGGACCACTTGGTGTCCTTGGCGAACCCACCTGAAGTTAACAATGTGGATGGGTTCAGTTTCCAGATCCCCTTCTTCTGTGAAACGGGGAAGGGTGGTAACACAGTTGGCTAGGGGGCCTGCAGCCTTCTTGAGGAGGGAAACATGGAACACTAGGTACAGCTTGGTGGTGGCAGGAAGCTCGAGGTGATACACTACTGACCCTACCTTCTCTAGTACCTTGAAGGGACCGTAGAATCTGGGAGCCAGCTTATGCCAGGCCCGACGGGCAACTGAGACCTGCCTATATGGCTGCAACTTCAGATAAACAAACTCGCCTACCTGAAACTCTACCTATTTGTGACTGGTATCATAATGTTCATCCTCGACTGGGCCTTAGAGAGATTGGCCTTGAGACTTTTCAGGATGTCATCTTGGGCTGTGAGCGTGGCTTCTACTTCAGCAATTTTAGTAGTTCCCAATTCATACGGGAGTATGGGGGGTGGGTCACATCCATACAGTGCCTTAAATGGAGTCATGTCGACAGCTGAGTGATAGGCCGTATTGTACCAATACACAGCCCATGGAAGCCAGTAAGTCCACTGCTTGGGCGTTTCCCCTGCAAAGCAACGCAAGTATGCCTTCGGGCATCTATTAAGGACCTCTGTCTGTCCGCCCGTTTGAGGGTGATAGCTGGTGGAGTCCCTCCAGAAGTGGCTGAGGAAGGAGGGATCTCGATCAGAAACAATGTACCTTGGGGTCCCATGCAGCTTGGTCACGTCCTTCATGAACATGTTGGCCATCATGGTGGCAGTGTATGGATGAGGCAGAGCTGAGAAGTGTCCGTACTTTGTTAGCCGGTCAATCACCACTAGAATTACTGATTTGCTGGCTGAACGAGGTGGACCTGCTATGAAGTCCATGGAAGTGTCTTCACACACCCGTTCTGGAATTCTAAGCGGCTGCAAAAGCCTCGCCGGTTATTGGGCTTGGTATTTCTATTGCCAACACACCCCACATTCAGCAACATGTCATTGGACATCCCTATGCATACCTAGCCAGTAATAATGACTTCTCAATCACTTAAGAGTGCGCAAAACTCCTGAATGTCCCCCCAAGCTGGAGTCTTGGAAAAGCTTCAGCAGATCAAGGATGTGGGCTAAGCTAGGCGAAATCATGTATCACCCTTAGAAAAATAAGTTTGGCCCAATAATAGTGTAACCACTCACCCTGGCTGGATCCTTTTGAACCTGGTTTCTGATTACCCGGAGATGGGGGTCTTGCCTTGACTTCTGTCGAATGGCTTTAAACAAAGGGTAGGTTGGTTCTGAGCAAGTGAGCTGGGCTAGATCTTCCACCCGAGAGAGAGCATTGGCCACACGATTCATGCTGCCTGGCTTGTACTCAATTCGGTAATCATAGTCCATTAACTTTCTGATCCACTTTTGCTGCTCTGGGGTGTGGACCCTTTGCTCCAGGAGGTATTTGAGGCTTCTTTGATCAGTTCTGATGAGAAGCTGCCATCCTAGCAAATAAGTCCTCCAGTTTTGGATGGCTAACACGATGGCCATTAGCTCCTTCCCATATGTGGATTGGGCCCGGTGGGTAGGAGCTTGCTAAAATAGGCCAGGGGTCTCCCCTGCTGCATCAGTACTGCCCCCCACGCCCACACTGGAGGCGTCACATTCAAGCTCAAAAGGTTGGAGAAGTCTGGTAGGGCCATAATGGGTGGTGTAGTCACTGTAGCCTTGAGTGCATTAAAATCCTCCTGAGCTTCCTCATCCCACAAGAATGATTCCTTCTTTAAGAGTCTCATGATGGGGGCAACTATGAGCCAATAGCCCTGAATGAACCCGCCTATAGTAGCCGGTAAGTCCCAGGCTCCCAGCAAGCCCCTTAAAGCCGTCAATGAAGTGGGTTGGGGCCAAGATTGGATGGCCATCACTTTTTTTGGGTCAGCTGTAACCCTTGCCTCATGTACTATGTGCCCCAAATAGTGAACTGCTCTGGCCGAAAGAACACTTGGAGGTTTAGCATACAGTTGGTTAATCCTTAGGACTGATAACACATGCTGCAGGTGCTCTAGGTGGGCCTTCTAGTTGCATAGTATCGGATCAAGGCTACGCAGCCATTGCACCCTGAAGATGACATCAACACCGAGAATTCAAGGGGTGCAAGTCTACCGAGAATTTCTGCCCTTGGATGGAGATGGTTTCCCTCTTGCAGATACTATCGCAATTTATCTTATGTCTATTGGTCACATGAACTGAAAAAGGGGAAGTGGGTTGGAGTGTCATACCCAGCCGTTTGGCCAGGAGGCAAGTGATGAAGTTCAGAGTTGATCCACTGTTGATGAGAATAGCTATGGGCCTGCCCAGAAGTCTGCCCGTGACCCGTATGGCTTGGGTGGAACCTAGGCCCATCAAAGCCTGGAGGGAGATCTCAGCTTCTTCTTGGTCCGGGCCCATTGGGCCGATTTCCCCATTGGCATGTGCGGTGGGGTCCACATCCGGGGTATCTTCATCTAGTTGCAGGAGGTAAGCATGATGGGCCTTGCACTTGTGGCCTGGCCCAAACTTGTCAGCGCAGTTATAGCATAGGCCCTTTTCGCGCCAGGCTTGCGTTTTGGCCCATAAAAGGCACTTATAGGGTACTGTGGGCCGAGGTAAGATGGGTCTTGTGGGCTCACTCACAGGCTTAGGGACCACCGGTTCAACCTTAGGAGGACTCAAAATCGGGCTTAGTAAGTGGTTATTTCTCCTCAGCTGGTCCAACTGCTCTTCTTGCAGTCTGGCCAGACCCACTGCTGCCATGACTGTTGCCGGCTATAACACCTTGACCTCCAGGCGTATATCGTCTCGCAGTCCCCTGATGAAACAACATACCAGTGCAGTTTTTGGCCACCCGAAAACGCGAGAGGATAAGCGCTCAAATTCCAGCTGATACTCCATCTCCGACCCCGTCTGCTTCGGCCTGGTAAGTTGTTCATTATAGTTCACAAATGTTGTTGGGCCAAATCTGATGCAGATGGCCTTAGTGAACTCTGACCACATCACCTGTGGATGGGAGCGGCGATACCACAGAAACCAGAGGATTGCATCACCGTTCAAATGGATGGAGGCGATCGATACTTGCTGATGTGCAGGGATTTCATGGTATTCAAAATACCACTCAGCCTTAAAGATCCAAGGAATGGGATCTCCACTGGAATATTTAGGAAAATCAATTTTGGTTACCCTGCCTGGAAATGGAGCGCCACTCCTTCCTCCTCGGTAGTTCAAACCCTCCATCTCCCCCTCTCTCTAACTGGACTCCCCTGTCTTCTGTTGTGAGGCCATGGTGGACATGGTAGCCCGCAGTTCCTTCAGCTCAGTGACCACCTGATGCGGAACTAACTCAATCTGATCGACCCTCTCGTCGACCGTAGTGGATCGTGTCGGCAGCATTGGAAGTGACAACCTGGCTCTGATACCAACTGGTAGGAATTGCCTACCTTGGTAGCCTCTTGGAGGGAGACTCACCTCCTGAGAACAGAGAAAATGGAGGAAGAAGAAAGGTTTCTATTCATCTTTTATTACAAAATTGGGAGCCTCTTTATACGGACTCAGATGGCTCATCATGAGAATCAGATATTCCCATGTGCAGATGTAACTAACTCTGGGATCGGATTTGCTGCCATGGCTACCGGTCCCCACTGTCTTATAACAAACTGCTGCGCTAAGGGTGGCTTTGCACCTGGACTGCTGTGGGCTCTAGGGCCTGGGCTTGTGTGGGTTGCATGGTCATAACAGAGCCCATGAACAAGTCCTCCAACTTGTGGCCCACCTATTAGATAGTAGATACATTTACATCTGCAGGACACCAAGGCAGTTGTGGGCATTGGAGGTCTTAGTGGCCTTGATCCATTTAGAGGGTGAAACTATACTATGGTTTCAATGGTATTGGTGTTGTTATCCTCAAC